GGGAGAAGGAATAAATGTATTACTCATTCTTATACACACTGCTAAGTCTTTCTATGGTGGTGGTGGTGGTCAAGCACGGCAACTATGTAAGTTTTTAATCCATCAGCCATTATGACTTTCAAGTTCGCAGCAGCAAGTCTTTTGTCTTTAATTCCAGTGGTCCCAAAGCTATTAGTAATGGTTTTCCATACACCAAATGGGAAATTATATTAGTAGTCTTTACATTTTGTTCCTTCTGTGATTTTTAGTCTGAATAATTTCAATAAGCCCAATTTTGAATCCTTAATTTTAAATTTTATGTGAATTTGGTTCAATTGATAATACTGATTAGAGTTCTTGAAAGAAAATGTTATTGAATTGATTGAAGTTAATTTATTGAATTGAACAAGTTTACAATTTTTTGCCTATAAAAGCATAACACGTGTTGCTCATGTGCCCATTTTTCATCAAAAAAAACTAAAAGTTGTAATTAATTAAACTAAATTGAGACGAAATTATAAATTCAGATCAAAATCGAATCCATTGAAATTATAAAAACAAAAATGACATAAAAGTAAAAATATAAAGACTACTAATATAATTTGTCTAAATTAATTAAAAGTTGACAATTTGGAGATTGTTTTGCTTTTTTATAGCATAAATTTAAGATTCATTATTTTTTGTTGTCTCAAAGTTTGAAAAATAAATTTGACAGGATATTATACTAAAAGTCTCATGATTCACGGTTCATTTTATTGAAAAATCGATAATCACATTTGTCACTAAAAATTTACATAGTCCAATATAATATAGAACTCAAAATACAAAGACTAGTGGTCCAAATAATTGCCCAAATATATTTTAAGCATTGATTCTAGTGGTCCCAAAGCAAGTCAACAAGGTTGGTCATGAGTGAAGAAAAGGTTGGAGTTGGTATTAGAAAGCAAGAGTGAATAATGGAACATTTTGTTAAAGAAATGGAAGACAAACCAACTTTGGGTTGGCGGGATAAAAGGGCGAAATATTTCAAAGCCATCCAACCAATACAAGGTCTAGCCTTGGGCTCTTTATGTCAACTTTAATCAAACCTTTCCAATCATTATGTTATAATTTTTTCCATTTTTATTTTAGTTAAATATTGATCTTATGTACTCGATTTATGATCAAAATTTTCTTTTCATCAGAATTTCATATGAGATTATAAATATGAAGAGTCTACTTATAAAATAGTTGTTTAGATTATGAATTTAGATAAAGATTTAAAAAGAAAACAGGAAAGGAAAATAGAGAAAAAATTTAACTTATATTTAATTCCCCTCCCCCCCTTTTTTTTTTCTTTCCTTTCCAAATCTCTATCCAAATTTATGATCTAAACACAAGATAGGGAGAAAAAATTTACTCTAGGAAATGACATCTTGGTACATTTGGAATGAAAATTGATTGATTTGTATTACATTAGGATTATAAGGGAAATGTTTGAGAGCCCCTTTGGGGATGACTCCCACACCCCCAAAGTGATACTGACCCTCCATGTATGTGTGGAGCCAACTCATGTATGTGTGGGGTCCACATCATGAGTGATCCAAATTTGTAGGGGTCTTGTGGGGGTCTCAATCATTACTCTTAGTATAAATTAAGGTAGCTCATAATTTTTAATTCGGGGTGCAACTCAAACAAATTCAGTAAATTGAGGGTTATCTAAGTAGTGTGGAGTGTTGTCTAACCCCGCCCAAGTCCAACCTCTAACCTAATTTTGTGTGCCCAAGGCTTGTTTGAGCTCAATAAATTGAACTTGGGCTAGGCCCGAATTACCCACAAATTTAAGTTGAGTTTTTATAAAACATCCTAACAAGTAACAAAGTAAGAATCATAAGTATCAACTATGAAATAACATCAAAACAAATTAAACATCCTAGCCACATTAATAGTACTAAGAACATTTTCAATAGACTCTTTAAATGAAACTTGTTAGCTATTATATCTATTATCTGTATATTTTAGTCACTTCAATGGACTAACTATTACAATAGTTATTTTAACAAATTTTTTCAAAATTAGCTACGTTTGAAGAGTCTTGGGAGGCTCTTTAAACGGTTTGTGTATATAGATAGATAAAATAAATAGTGACGTTGGAGTACATTAAAAAAAAAAGAAATTAAGTAAAATAAAAAACATACATTTTTTATATTTTAGCTAATGAAAATTGAAGAGTACGGTTAGAATTGCTCTAAGCGAATATCACTAGGCTAGACTGGCCAATAATCCTAAGTAATAGGCAATAAATGCACATTACAAATTGTTTGCACTATAAATTATTTTCTGTCAATTGTAGCATCGATTGTGACCAAATTCAATTTTATTAATTGTGGCCTGTCGATCATGGTCAAATCTAATCTTATTGATTGTGACCTATCAATTTTAGTCTCTCAATTCAGACTAAAATTATCTTTCCAAGTGATTATGAGCATATTTTGTTGTTATGATTATTATTATTGTTGTTGTTGTTATTATTGTTGTTTTTGTTACTGTTTTTGTGCAGTGTGTAGCAGACGTGGGGCATAAAGGTGGTTGTGAACCCATGATGTGCAAAGAATCCAAGATGAGCAAAGAACTTGGCAACGTGGGTGACTATGGAAGATGTTGCTTACAAAGTGAAGTAGTGGAATATAACTTGATGTGAAAGTGGGCTGCTTTCAGCAGTTACAAAAGGACGGTTTCAAGCCTATAACAGGCAAGGATGAAACAAAGAAACAAGATCTAGAAGTGATCAAACTCATCAGTCTTTTTTATTATTATTATTATTATTATTATTAGGAATATCTTAACTTTTAGTAATAGCTTTCAATAGTTTGTAACATTATAAACTTAAAAGATTTCAATAAAAAAAATGTATGTGTTTATTTCACTCTTTTGATTGTTAATTATTCTAAAGAAGTCCTTGTACTTTTAAGACAATAGAATCTTTAGATATTCGTCTGGTTTTCTATTTGATTGTTTGATTAAAATTGTTATTAAATCTCTGTCAATCAAGACTAAACAAAATTTTTACTAACACAAACATAAACTTGAAACAAATGTTGCAATAGTTCATTCACTTCTTTAGTCTCCAATCCTTAATTCCGTCTCCTAGTAATTTGAAGAGAAAAAAAAAAACAAAGAAAGTCAAAACAATTCAATTAATGCAAATCAAATTGAAATTGTAATAATTTATATGCATATTTAATATTTTTATATATTTATATTTAAATTTGTAATTCAGGTTTCAAGTTGTTGAAAATCTTTGTCTACGCCTAGCCTTGAATTTAATTCAAGCTCACTTCATTGCTACATAAACCTATATTTTAAAATATATTGTCAAATCCTTAAAAATTCAAGTTGGACTCATGTTGCTTAGTTTGGACTGCGTGAGTAGCAACCTTATTTTTAACTGCTTAATTGGATGAATTTAAATCTCTCGGGCTTCACTTTTCCAACAATGTCACATGCACCGAAAAAAAAAGGGATAAAATTCATTTAACCCCCTTGTGGTTTAACTATGAAGCACTTTATCTCCTTTATTTTAAAAATCAAATATCCCCCTGTGATTTGGATTGTTTTACAATTTACCTCTTTACCGTATATATTTCCATCCAAATAAACAGAGTTCGTACCTCACACTCTAGCAATTATGGTCAAACTAATTAATATTCAACCAAATCAATACCCAATTTGATTATATATACACATATATAAAATTGTGTATAAATAAACCTATATATATGTATTAAGGGAAATTCTATGTATTGTGTATATGTAAACCTGTGTATGTATATATATATATAATGAATTAACTCAGTAAAATCCTTTTGTTTAAACCTGTGTATATGTAATTAGTTGACACACATGTTTAAGAGGGTAAAATAGTAAATTTTTAATTTTGTTAATAGAGTTAAGTGTTGCAATTTAGTCCAAAACCATATGAGGGTATCTTATTAAACCACAAAGGATAAAATGAATTTTACCGGAAAAAAAATCAATATATACCTCATTTTATTTTGAATTTAATTCCCTCTGCACCTAGAATAAATCTAAGCCATGCATTGATTTTTCTCTACGTATTTCTTTCTACTAGTTAGACCCAATGCATATTTAGAAAATTTCTATATATACGAGATGAGTTCTTTTTCTTTATTTTTAAATTTTTTTATTTTACCAACAAAAAATTTATTAATAAAATGATTATATAGTGGGGAGAAACAAGAACAAAACCACACATCTCCAACACACAGCCACAATTATAGAACACTAAAATGTCAAAAAATTATGTACCATTACATGCTGGCAAGATACTTAGATACCAACATATAAGACCAAAGGCAAACAAAAGAAAAACACAACTCAATTGACCAACAAATCAAATAAATTAAACAAGGAAATATCTCTGTTGATATCATTTCCCCCTTGCTGTGGTGAGAGCGACCCCCAGTAGTGGCAGTGCCAATCTGTAGGCAGTAAGCACCAAATTGAGGTCCCCTATTGTGCCCATAGGAGGGTAACAGCAGTAATAATGGAGCTATACATGGCTATGGTGTCTCAGAAAATGAACATGTGAAACCACTTGTGTTTTAGCATAGTTGGCATGCCTTGGTCAGGTTCATTGTTGTTATAGCCACCGGGTATTGTGCAACTGGCTGCAAAAGTTACACTGGCAACGAGGGTGGACACCAATAGAAGAGTGTTGAATCAGTCCTTATAGCTATCTATGTTCACTTGCTCCAGTTGCACAGATGCTTGTTTCTTTTTAGCATTTAGGGTTTTTCTACAGTAAGCTTGTGGTGCACCAGCGGCTTTCAATGCAGTCCATGTTAACCGTTGCAAGATAAAAATGTCTCACAAATTTAAGCTATGACCACCTAATGGCTATTGAAATAGCAGGCCATTAAATTTCCTTCCAGTCAATGCTAAATAATAATTCATAGTAATATGAAAAGGAATGTTCACGCACAGACAACTTTGGAGAACTTCAGCTTTAGCACTACAAGTGAAGAAGCATTTCGAGATTGTATATATGGACTGGCACAAGATTCACAATAGTAACCATTACATAACATTAATCATGAATAACAATAGATATAGCTTTGCTTGGACCCTATTTTGGCATATTATTGTAAGTGGAGTTTGATGCAAATAAAAATAAATAAATAACATGAAGAATCAAGAGCAGACATACCCTCATTTGTTATGTTTGATTAGGTATCTGAAGTGTAGGGTTATTTAATTAGCTGAGGGCATACCTTTCGAAATGAGGGCATTCTTTCCATGTAGTACTCAGCAGAATCAAGAGCAGACACACCCTCATTATTCACTATAAGTCCACTCTTTCATCCCATGTTAGGGTACTAACAATCTTTGGATGCCAATCCATGGTGGCCAAATGCAAGGGTGTGTTTACATGTTTGTCCCTCATGTTTATAAACCTTCTCGAGCTCAGGAGTTTGGAGAAAGTAACTAACCATGTTATGTCCTCTGCTCTTGGCAGCAACATGAAGAATATTTTGACCATGACAGTTGAGCAGTTCCCTCGAATCAGGCCAATACTGAAGCAACGCCCGGACAACATCAACATGGCCTTTAATTGATGCTAAATGAATAGGGAAGTAAGCCATTGTTGTCCCTTGCAATAGCACCTGAACTCTGTCTTCCTAACAAGTACTGAACCTCTTCAAGATAGCCCAATCATGCAATCAAGTGAAGTGGAGTCCTTCATCTCTTAATTGAATGAACCTTGGTTCTGATTTCAATAAGGCATCTAAAACACCTAGGATTTTAAAATAAATTGAGAAACAAAAATGCAAAAACCAAAAAGAAATCAAGAATAAGTGTTAGAATTACCTCGGTTTCTTTTTAAAATGACAGCATGAATAGGTGATTACCCTTAAGTCTTTCATTTGTATTTTCAATCCCAACTGTATCACTAAGAATCTGCGTGACAAGTTCCAAAAACCCTACTTCAGCAGCTAGAAACAGAGCTGATTTCACTTCATTGTTCAGATAATATAACACTACTGGATCTACCGTGATCAAATAATAAGCTACAACTTGGTGACTGTTCATCAAGGCCTTGTGTAATGATATGTTGCCCTTTTCATTTTTTACCCTCAAAAGCAGATTATCCCAATCAACGTCTCTCTAAAATTTCCCACCATTTTCAGAACACATTTGAATCCCCGGAGCATATAAATCAACCAGATCAATGTCAAACACTAAATACTTTTTTCCTTTTGTTCTCTTTTTGTTAAGTACTCAATAACAATGTACCTGATAGAATACTTTGAAGTAATCATCCTCAACATACAGAAGCACAAGAATTGCAAAAAGTCACGCCAACTGACCTCTGAAGCAACAGAAATTATTGACGTTACTTCAAAGAGACATAACAATCAAGTAAAACTGATACAAGGGAAGCCAAATACTTCCCTGAGACCGAGGGAAGATATCAGCAAGAAGGTTTTTGTACCGCTTCACAGGCTGTCTCAACCTTGCCCGCAGGGAAGGATAGAAGAAACATACTTTACCACAAATGGGCAAAACCCTCCCCAACATAACCCCCATTTTCCAAGGAATTGAATTCAAACCCCTCCAATGAAAAACCAAATCACAAATTCAAACCAAAATTCACCAAAACAACACTGACCCAATTGACCAAATGAACAATAATTCAGAAGAATTCCCAAAAATTTCATTTTTGTGGCAATTTAACGAATTGGACACAACAAAATTGCCAAAGAAAAGGTCACTAAACATATCAATTTTGCAAAATTCAAACAAATTTATCAAAGTTTAAATCATACCCACCAATCCAAACAATACTAAAACTCATATACTGAACAATCCAACTGCTAAGATCGTGATCTAGATAAGCCTACCAACGAATGGATAACATCTTCACACCATCAACACACACATTTACACATATATACAGATTAGAAACTTAAGATAACCACAGAATTTGTTACAGAAATGTAGCAGGAAAGTACAATTAGTTCTCTTTATAAAAGAAAATCAATTTAACATGTTTCAAAATTTCCAAGATGTCAATAGAACAATCAATTTATATACATGCATGCATACATACATAAGTAGAAAAGAAATCTTACTTCGTCTAAAAAGAAAAGTTAGAAATACTTCCATAGCAGCACACCCATTTCATATCCACGAATATTTGATGCAATGAACACAGCAAATTTGTGGAAAAATTAAACAGCAGCAACAACCAAAGAAGAAGCATATATTTACACAATCAATAAAAAACAATTGAGATTTAGGATAATTTTTAGATAAATTTGCATGTTAGTGTATATTAGTGTTTGTAATGATGTTAGAATCTTTACTTTTACTTTACTTTATTAGTGCCACTTTCGGCCACTTTAAGCTCCCACTTTTGGCTCCTCTCCTATATAACCGAGCTCAATTGAACCTTTGTAATACAACATTCAGAACATCCGGACCTCTACACATACCTTGACTCCGCTGCCACTAAACCCAATTCAACATTCACCTTCAAGATCAGAGCATCATCACCATCATCCATCTTGGTCACCTACATCAAACACACTCAACTGGCCGCAACCGTCGCCGGCGCCACCCTCTTCGCCGTGGGAGTCCACCTCTCTTTCACCAACGTAGCCACTCAACAAGCTCGCACCAAGGCCCGCAACGACTTCATCAAAGTCCACCTATCAAAGCATTCAATCCTTATTTCAAACAGAAAACAAAAAAAAAAGAAAAAGAAAAAAAAGAAGAGTTCTCAGATGAGGAATAGTAACCACGTGATCGGGCTACTGAACTTCCTAACTTTCCTCCTCTCAATCCCCATCCTGGGCGGCGGCATATGGCTGAGCACCCGAGCCAACACGACCGACTGCCTCCGGTTCCTCCAGTGGCCGATCATCATCATCGGCATGGCCATCATGGTCATCTCTCTAGCGGGCTTCACCGGAGCCTGCTATCGCAACACTTTTCTCATGTATGTCTATTTGTGGGCCATGTTCCTCATAATCTGCGATGGCATTCTCAAGCTTCTCGACACCAAGTTCTCTGTCTCGGAAATGACACACGGCCTCAGCTCTCTCTCGCTAGCGATATCTCTCTCCCTCTCGGGTTGCATTTTGAGAAGAGAAGCCATTAACACACCATACCCAGCACATACAGACACGGCTCACTCTCATCTCTCTCTAGCTGGGTCTCTCTCTCTATAGACACACAGCACACAATACTCACTCAGCCACCCACGCACACGGCACACCCAGCACCATACACCCACTCCATACACACCCAAGATCTTCCCACCCATGCACATGACACCCAGCTAACACACACCTCTCTCTCACCCACGGCACTCACAGCAGACACACAACACACACACGGTTTAGAGAGAGAGCGGACACACACTCCACACACCCAACACAACACACACTCACACACACACCCACGGGATTGACGGACACACATGCACTTTGTGATGAAAATATTTTTTTTTTTAATCAACCCACTCCCTCTCTCTGGTCCCTTTTTCTCTCCACCAGAGCCACTTTAATCATTTAATCATATCCCTCATTTGCCTTAATTTATTCCATCCATCAGCCCCCATGCTTTCCCCATTAATACATTTTTTTTATTATTATTATTTTTATTATTTTTATTATAAAAAAAAAAAAAAAACCAAACAAACAAACAACGCGCACCCCACCCACGTGGTCTCACTTTTTCTTTTTATTATTATTATTATTATCTCAAATAATCACTACACTCATGTTTTTCACTGGCAGTGTCCACTTTTGAATCCATCCCCACTTCTTTATTTATTTTTAATCAATTTTCCTGTGCCTTTCACCACCACTTTTGACCCTCAAAATTTTTAACCCATCCTTTCTCCTTCACCTTTTGCACTCCACTCACCGCCTTTCTCTCCCCAAAATAGAATACCTTTCTTTCTTTTCTCTTATTATTTTTTTTTTGTGTCCTGTGTATTCTCTGTGTGTGTGTCCAGCGTGTGTCTCTCCCCTCATTAATTATTATTATATATTATTATTCTTATTATTTCACAAAAAAAAAAAAAAATTCTATTTGCTCCACTTTATCAATCCCTTTGTTTCAACCTCAAATAGGTTTCTCTCTTCACACCTATTTGAGTTTGAGGGGGGGTTATACATATGGTTACACACCATGCGAACCACCGAAGCTGGTGAGCATGGTTATACACCATGGGAACCACTCAAGCCACCTCATGGTGCACTAAAACCCTACTTCAGCAGCTAGAAACAGAGCTGATTTCACTTCATTGTTCAGATAATATAACACTACTGGATCTACCGTGATCAAATAATAAGCTACAACTTGGTGACTGTTCATCAAGGCCTTGTGTAATGATATGTTGCCCTTTTCATTTTTTACCCTCAAAAGCAGATTATCCCAATCAACGTCTCTCTAAAATTTCCCACCATTTTCAGAACACATTTGAATCCCCGGAGCATATAAATCAACCAGATCAATGTCAAACACTAAATACTTTTTTCCTTTTGTTCTCTTTTTGTTAAGTACTCAATAACAATGTACCTGATAGAATACTTTGAAGTAATCATCCTCAACATACAGAAGCACAAGAATTGCAAAAAGTCACGCCAACTGACCTCTGAAGCAACAGAAATTATTGACGTTACTTCAAAAAGACATAACAATCAAGTAAAACTGATACAAGGGAAGCCAAATACTCCCGAGACCGAGGGAAGATATCAGCAAGAAGGTTTTTGTACCGCTTTACAGGCTGTCTCGACCTTGCCCGCAGGGAAGGATAGAAGAAACAGACTTTACCACAAATGGGCAAAACCCTCCTCGACATAACCCCCATTTTCCAAGGAATTGAATTCAAACCCCTCCAATGAAAAACCAAATCACAAATTCAAACCAAAATTCACGAAAACAACACTGACCCAATTGACCAAATGAACAATAATTCAGAAGAATTCCCAAAAATTTCATTTTTGTGGCAATTTAACGAATTGGACACAACAAAATTGCCAAAGAAAAGGTCACTAAACATATCAATTTTGCAAAATTCAAACAAATTTATCAAAGTTTAAATCATACCCACCAATCCAAACAATACTAAAACTCATATACTGAACAATCCAACTGCTAAGATCGTGATCTAGATAAGCCTACCAACGAATGGATAACATCTTCACACCATCAACACACACATTTACACATATATACAGATTAGAAACTTAAGATAACCACAGAATTTGTTACAGAAATGTAGCAGGAAAGTACAATTAGTTCTCTTTATAAAAGAAAATCAATTTAACATGTTTCAAAATTTCCAAGATGTCAATAGAACAATCAATTTATATACATGCATGCATGCATACATAAGTAGAAAAGAAATCTTACTTCGTCTAAAAAGAAAAGTTAGAAATGCTTCCATAGCAGCACACCCATTTCATATCCACGAATATTTGATGCAATGAACACAGCAAATTTGTGGAAAAATTAAACAGCAGCAACAGCCAAAGAAGAAGCATATATTTACACAATCAATAAAAAACAATTGAGATTTAGGATAATTTTTAGATAAATTTGCAGATGAAAAAACAAATCCAAACTTAGATACACAAAATTAATGCAAAAATGTCTTCCTCGTACCTGATTGAGGAACAATAGAGAGACGTACAAAATGGGTCGGTTTTGTACCTGAAACAAAACGACCAAAAATACAAAGCGAACCCTTCATTCAATTTGAAGAATGACAAGTCCAATCACTTCAATGAAAGCTGAAATCAATAAAACAGAGCAACAAAAGAACACAAAAACAAACCTGAAAAAATAAAGCAAGAAAGTTGAAGTTGAGGAAGAAACCTAGAAAAGGAGAAAATCAGAAGAGCAACTAAGAAGACAAAGCCAAATGAACACAAGAAAATTTGATCCTGAAGCCAAGTAAACAAAGGCCGGAAGAGCAACTAAGAAGACAAGGCCAAACGAACACAAGAAAAATTGATCCTGAGAGAGAATCGTTTGATTGCAAATTTGAAATTTTGCCTCTTTTATATAATGGTTATAGATACATGTAGCATTACCCTACCTTCTTAGGCTATGATCTTCGAACTTTATTGTTGAATTTTTAATATATTTCAAAACCCACTAACGAGACCCAAGATCTTTTTATCTTTAAAATTTTTTATTTCTCTGTTGAGAAACATTCACAATTGTTAAATTATATCTCTAAATATTCATATCTTAACATTCTTATATAATTCAATGACTATAAATATTACAAGACATGAGATCATAAAATTTGACTAAACTTGTCTCTCAACCACTAATGTATAACTTCAATTATTGAACAAGATGAACAAAAGCAACTGCTGTATTATCTAACTTTCCAAACACAAAACTTCTGTCATTCAAACATTACAGAGTCCATAATTTACATTTATTATTATTATTATTATTAAAAAAAAAGTGCTGATTCTTAGAAAGATCTAAGGAAGCAAAGTTGACTGATCATGTTGGCTACAAAACAGAGGAACTGGCTGCTTAAACTATTTCACAGAAAGTGCTGAAGCAGTTAGCATAAATAAAAATCAAAATAGATACTTTTTTTCCCTTGTTTTCTTCCCCTCATGAATCTAGTTCTAATATTTTAAGAAAAGAATATTTTGAAAATGAAACAAACAAGCTAATGTCATTTTAAATTAATTTCAAACTCAGGAAGTTGAATTATGTTCTTGCTGTGCTAAAAACCATAAAAAAATAATTGCAAAGGGAATAAAAAATAAATAAATAAATAAATAAGGCAAAAGTGAAAAGCTGCAAAATAGGAACTCGGCCAAAAAAAACTTGTCTTCAAGAGGAAAAATGCACATAGACTCATTATGCAACAACTAAGACAGGCACTAAGACACCCCTTCAAGTAGATACTATTGCTTTATTGTGCTACTTAAAGGTATGGAGCTAGTTTTGAAATAAAACATAAGTACCTCTAATTTTGCTTATAAATAGAAACTACAAGAGATAATCCAACAACATAAAGCTTCAAAGACAAATTTCGTTGATCTGATAACACCATTTGATTTTGCTGATTTCTTCCTTTATTGCATCAGTGGGCACCCTTCTTAGACCTTTTCAACTTCTTATATTGTTTTTCTTCAACAATTTTCATAAGCCATTCTGGTCTTTGAGTTACAAACATAAGATATCCCATAACCATTCCAAATACAAATCAGCATCCATACCCCATCACTACAACTTGCCAGCTAAATCTGCTTGACTTGTCCGGATTCTCGCCTTGTTGGAATGTTGGTGGAGGTGGCAGTGGCTGCAGTTCCTTACATTTCTTTGATAAGGGAATTCCACATAAAGTCAAGTTCCCACTGTATGAATCATTTCCAAATGTATTAAACTGTCTCCCTTGAAGAATTGATCCTACTAGTTGGTTGTCCGAAAGGTTTAGTACCTCATGAAACATCAAACTTGTCAATTGCCAAGGAATCTCCCCAACAAGCTTGTTTAAGGAAAGGTCCAATGATTCAAGGTTCTTTAAATTTCCAAGTGAAGTTGGGATATGGCCTGTAAGGTTGTTATGAGATAAGTTGAGACCTCGAAGAGAATTGAGCTTCGCAATGGACTTCGGAATATCTCCTTGGAAATTATTGCTTGATAAATAAAAAAATTGAGAAGACCATCAAGATTCTTGAATATTCAATTTCAAATCCTTTCATCACCACCACCACCACAGAATCTTGATAATACATCTCACCCATCACATTCATCATAGCTTCAAATTTTTCAATATAATTGGTTGGCAAAGGGCCACTAAACTCATTGTAACATATGTCAATAATCCTCAACTTAGTGAAAGGAACTTTACTCTTGGTCTTAAAGGCGTCTATGTGACCATGAAACCTATTAAATCTCAAGACCAGACCCGCAATTCCAGAAGAGTTCCTAACCAATTGGGGAATGTATCATTTATCTTGTTTATTCCAGGATCCAGAACTTCCAAGTGTTCACAATAGAGCAAAGATCGTGGAACTTGTCCTTCAATCTGGTTGCCATTCAATAAATTGTAGTGTTTGCCATGGAAGTTTCTCTAAACCAGTAAGAAATTATTAGAAAGATCTAAATCCTTCAATGAATTTTTCCCCACATCCAATACCCATTTTGGAACTGCACCAATTTTGTTGTTTGAAAGGTCTAGAGAAAGCAATTCAGCTTGTACTCACAAGAAGTTTGGAAATTTGCTTGCAAGAAGCTAATCCTATAGTGTAAAATTTGGGCATGGTAGAGTTGACACTGTTGTTGATGCTCAATGAGAGACCATTATGTGAAAGGTCAAGATGGGAGAGATATTTTAGCCTTAAAAGCTTATCTAGCTCCACTATACCACTTAAGTTATTTGATGAAAACGACGAGTGTGTCAAGTTTGCAAGTTCATAAACAGATCCTGGAATTTGTTCTTGCAACTTATTGCCACTCAATTCTATAGAAACCAGTGAAGGTAGAGTAAATAACCAAGATGGTATTGTCCCATTGAGTGAGTTATTTTTAAAATCAAGGTAAGCTAACCTGGAAAACCCAATTGCATACAAAGGAATGGGACCTGTTAGCTGATTTCCACAAAGGTCCAAGAAAGCAAGTTGGCTCATGTTGCCAATGGAATCTGGTATTTGTCTGTTCAAATTGTTATTAGAAAGAAACAAGTGAGTAAACTTTGCAAGGTTTGAAATCGATAAGGGGATTTGACCGCTAAAACTATTATACAAGAAGTACAAATTGGTGATTTGTTAAGGTTCCCAAGAGAAGCTGGAATGGACCCTGAAAAGTTGCACTCAATGAGGTACACACTATTCAAGGCTTAAAGATTGCTGATTGAATCAGGCACTTGGCCAGAAAAACTTGTCCTAGAGAGATCAATAATCTGAAGGGAACTAGTTATATTAAAGTTTGGAAGTTTACCTGTGAGGTTTCTGTTATCCCATACCTCGAGCTTTTGTAGGTTTGGGAGGTGGAAAATGTTTTATGAGAATTTCCCATGCAATTCACAATAAGCAAGATGAGAGATGTCAAAGAAAATTGATTTAACAAAGTATGAGGTAAAGGTGAAGAGATATCCAATGCATCAAGGTGTAGTTCTCTTAACTGGATTAGGTTCTGAAAGAGCATATTGAAAGTGTGTTGTTTAAGTCTCCCCTCATGAATACCAGAAAAATCGAGCGAAATCAATTTGGACAGGCGGAGATTTCTGAAGGAATTCGACCTGAAAATAAAGAGTTCGAGAGGTTGAGATGGGTCAAATTCATGAATGAGCAAAACTTAGACGATATTATAGAGAATTTGAAGTCATTGAAGGCAAGATTGAGCCTCTGGAGCTGACGAATGTGGAAAAGGCTGCTATTGCTTTGGATGGTGCCCTGAAGCTCTCTACAACTGAGGTCAAGTCTAATTACATGACCATTCAACCAGTCATATATGACACCCTCCCATGAACAGCAATCAGTACTCTCATTCCAGAACTCCATTTTAGGATGAGAATAAGATATACACTGTAAAAAGGTAAAGCCACTTGTGACAAATGTTTTTTTAAATTCGAGTAGTGCAAATCTCTGATCCTCAAGGCACGTGGGGCGTGCAGAAGTAGAAGAAGACCGTGATGATGAACATGTAAGAACTTGAGAAAATGAGAGAAACAACAGAAATTGATGAAGCAATATTAGCCAACTCATTTCTACTTATGGGAATCAAAGTTATCAAAATGAATAAGTTGGATATTTGATGATGGAGAATGATAAGAGAAAATGTATTCTTCTTATACACACTACTAAGTAACAATAAGTCTTTCTCTGGTGTAGATCGTCAAGTAAGGCAACCACGTAAATTGTAATTATCCACTCTTCAAACAAGCTTGTCTTCCATCAACGTTTGGTATGACGGAAAATGAAAATCAACTGAAACATTTTCTGTTAATCATGGAAAAAAGTTTATTTGGGCGAAAAATATTTTTTGAACTAAACTCCTTTCCTACCAACGACATCAAATGACCTCCACCTCCATCACCCTACCACTATTACCGCCAACACAACCACCACAATTCCTGCCCTATCACTGCCGATGCTGCTGCCACGCCAACATTACCACTACTACAATCACTAGCACATTAATTTTATGATCAAATGTTAAAAAATATTTGTTTTTTATTTGTAATAAACATTTTCAGTAACAAAATATATTTTACCAAAACAAATAGAGTGGTAATTCTAGTGGTCCCAAAGCTAGCAAAGGTTGTCCATAAGTCATGAAAAAAATTTGGACTCGGTATTACTAAGCAAGTAATGCAACAGTTTGAGACTGGAATTGTTAGAGAGATGTAAGAAAAACCAACCCGGGTAGGTGGGTTATTTCTTAAGGAATGTGGCAGGAAATAAGTAGTTTGAGGTGGACACATGTTGGCCAAACTCGTACTGAGAGAGAGAGAGAGTTTTCCAAGTCATCCAATACAAGGTCTACCCTCAGGCTCTATCTATTAACTTTCATTTTAATTTTGGTGAAATATTGAGATATGATCCCATGCACGCATTTTTATAATCAAAATTTTCAATTCTTTAGAGCTCCAGATTAAGTTATAGATGTGAAGAGTCTACTTTCAAGACAGACATTTAAGAGGGAAAAAATTTAACACTGGGGAATGAAATCTTGTTACATTTACAATGAAAATTGATTGATTTGTATGGCCAATTTTTTCAAATGCAATTTTAGGAAATTTTAACTAGGGGTGCAACTCAAGCATATTCAGCTAGGTTGAGGGGTTTCTCAAGTTGTGCTTAGAGTTGTCTAAACCTTCCCAAGTCTGACCTCTAGCC